TATGATCATGATTGAATCTGGGTATCCAGTAATAACTGCGATTCTAGCTGCTGGTCTGGTGTTATTTGGTAGTTAAAACATTTTCACACATTTGAGTGACGCCAAGGGAAAAAAATCAGACTTCGGGCTTTCAAGTTTATTATTTATTATTTACCAGACTCAGCCCTGATCAGAGACATATACTATACGAAGTAAATTTAATTACGCATTATATGCTGCTAATCAGGGCTGAGTCTGGTAAATAATAAATAATAAATAATAAACTTGAAAGCCAGGATTCTAGTTTTTCCTTGTGTGATTCATTTTACCTCAATTTTGATCAAACTTGAAAACTCATCATTATTCATTCAAAAGATAATGCACTGGTTTGTCAGACACGATTGATTCTTCTCGACTCGATGCTTGTTTTCTTTATGCTTTGCACTTTTTATTGCTATATTCGATTTTATAAATATCGCTTAAGGTATTTTATCGGGAGATGTTATACATGCAATTTTAACGGAAAAATATATATACGCAATTTTAACACTATTGTTATTTATTGATTATTCATGTGTGTTTATTTAATGGACTAATAGAGAATATTCGAATGAATGGTGGTTTTGGATGGTTGCAACTGGAGTCACTCTTGGTTTAACATTAAGGTAATCACAGTTGTACGCGTTTTAAAACATTACATCGTAAAACGTGTAATCACATAAAATTAATTCATTAAAAGTGTAAAATTGGTTGGTCTATTTACTGTTCTCACTATCGGAATGGCAGTAATAGTTGACTTGTGGAATTTGTTGGATATAAAACGTGGACTATCAATAGTATGTATTGTCTTAATATAAAATCTTCATTTTCCTGACGAGCGTTACTCGCAAATAAACAGACATTCTCATTATCTGATGTGCATTTTCATTAATCGCGTAGGAACAATTTAGACAACATTTCTATGCGCGTGCTGTCGGTTTAATCATTGTACCAATTTTGGTCTATTTGTTTTGGTTTTATGTTCATTTTGCTGTATTAATTACAAGCGGTCCTGGTGACTCGTTTATGAGTCCGGCGTTCCAAGAAACGCTCCAAGGAAATGTGATGGCGCTTGAAAGTCTTGGTAAAGCCATTCACACTTAAATCGTAAATATTTTTCGTATTATAAACTCATATCTCACCTCTTGAAATTTTATCGTTTCAGAAATAAGATTTAATGACACGATTACTTTAAAGCACAAAGGTACTTCGGTCTTTTTACATTCTCATCCTCAACGTTATCCTCTTCGATATACCGACGGACGTATTAGTAGTCAAGGTAAGACAGCTATTTATGGATTAGAAATACTTGGTATTGGTCAATAAATACTTTATTTACAGGACAACAGGTTACTGGTTATAAATTTGAGGATGCCAACAATTATTGGCGAGTTAAACCTGCAAACATTTTTATGGATCCTTCAAGACCAAATGATGATTTTGTGAAGCATGGAGATTATATATTACTTGAACACATCAATACACAGTCTCATCTACTTACTCATGACGTGGCTTCGCCTTTGATGCCAACAAATCAAGAATTCACGACCATGCCAGTAGATGATGATTCCCGCTATAATGAGACCGTTTTTCAGGTTTTAATAGATGATGGTGAATCAGACACAGTATGGAAAACAAAGTCTAGTTATATACGATTGGTTCATTTTGATACAAAAGTGGCGTTGTGGACGCACGATAAAGTATTACCAGAGTGGGGCTTTAAACAGCAGGAAATTAATGGAAACAAGAATAATGTGGAACGAAGTAATATTTGGTTTGCGGATCAAATTATTGGAAAGAATGGTTGGTGCTTGACTTGTAATATATTTTTTTTATTTCTTATCATATTGTACCTCATTAATGGCATTCATTTTACTTAAATTTAGTAACAAAACCCCTGGTTCCGGATCCTCCAAAAAGACGTCTTCCCTTTCTTACAAAATTTTTTGAATTGCAACGCCTTATGCTCAGTCATAATGCAGGGTTAACGAAGCCACATCCTTATTCCTCTACACCAATTAATTGGCCATTTTTAGTACGGGGTATTTCTTTTTGGACGAATAATGATGATAGGCAACAGATATATTTGTTAGGTAACCCCTTTGCCTGGTGGTTATCTGTTGGTGCTATGGCCGTTTTGGTTGGCGTTATAGCCGCAGATATTATCTCTAGACGGCGTGCTATTAATCCGATTTCTGAACGTGAGTTGCCTTTTTTTTAAATAATTGGGTTATGATGTAACATGATATAGCATTATATATATATGTTTTTACATTCGATTGCTCTCTTTAGATGTTCGTAATCGTTTATATAATTCCGGTCTATTCTTCTTTATGGCATGGTTTATACATTATGCACCATTTTACTTAATGGGTCGATCTCTATTTCTTCATCATTATCTTCCTGCAATAATCTGTAGTTATCTAGTGGCAGCAGTAGTTTTTAACTTTATGTTTGTAGATTCTGTAAACTATCCAATTTCAGTCGCTAATCCGAGGAAGAAACCTCGGATTATTGCACGTGCTGTTGTTAAAAATATAACAGTAATTACTTGTACTATATTGTTAATTGTATCCGCATATGTATTTTATTATTTCTCACCCCTTACTTATGGTACTCCTGGGGTAGATCCGGCGGGTATAAAAGGTAGAATGTGGCTAGATAGCTGGGATTTACATTTTCAGCCGAAAAGGAATGAAGCTGATTAAATTTATTTTCGATATCATTATTCATTGTGTAGATTTTTTTCAACAATTTTTTTAATAGATTTTTTATGTATGAAACAACACAACTTAAATAAACTTATTATTTTAATTACAATGATATGCATCATATTCATCTTACGTTAATCACCATCAAGTATCAGTATGCATAAATATATTATACACTAGATATTCTTTCTCTTGTGGTGATTGCTTCTATATAAAAAGTTAGAATAATGTTAATCAAAATCTTATTTAATATCCATTTATATTCATACGCTGAATAATTATTGTTACACTTCGTTTAAAATGTTTAGAACAAGCATATGGATTGAAGTAACATCTAATTTTAAGCCAACCCATTAACAACCCTACCTCGGAGGGCATGCCTCTGGCTAGTGATATGAATCGAAAATCGATTAATCGGTTAGTTGGCTGAGTTGGCAACTAATCGATTAACAATTTTGACCCA